AGGAAGTCTGGTGTGCCCGCTGACAAGGTGGCCGCTTTTTTCTCCTTCGAAATAGGCTCCTGCAGTGATGGGTCAAATTGAGGTTTGGTAAATCATTGAAAAGCCATGTCTTGATTACCGGCAGTTGTTGATGATAGCTTAATAGAAGACTACAGCCCAGGGTTGTGCCACTCTGAGATAGCGTGGTGGGGGACGACAAGTCTTGGGGATCGGCCAGTTTGATAGCTCTGTAGCTTTGGTGAGTCAGTGAACTGTCCCAGAACTTTACAATTTAAAAAAAAAAGTCTTAAGGCAGTAGGAATGAGTCTTGCTTTCCCTCTGATTCTAACCTCACATAGGGCATCTTGGGTGTACCCACAACTCCTTGGCTTATGCTTACAGCAACCTCATGCTTAAGCTCAGCTCTGCTTTTCTTGCCTCTTGAGATTTCAAGGCTACATCTCTCAATAAAATAACCTCTAAGAGAAAAGAGTACATTGCTACTCTCTCGTGTTATATGACTCCTAACTTTGAGAGTAAGATAAAGCGGTGATTCTCTGACTATAGCGGGCTTATATGACAGAAAATTCAGTACCTAAGATAGAATGCTTGTACTGTTCTGTTCTGCTTTGTTGTTCTGTTTCCGTTGTGTTGTTTATCCTTCCTTCTTGAGGAGGACCATGACATCAGGAAGGAGTTGTCGTGACTTGCAAGTGAATTGGATTTAAGTGAGGGAGGGCTGTGCAAAGTCACCAGCCTCACTCTCTCCTCCAGAGCCCTCTGGGTCCAGTGGCAGGATATAGATCAGGACAACTGGAGATGGCCCTGGATGCAATGGGAGACCTTGGCATTTTTAAGCTAAGATCTTTCCCAGCTCTCAGTTTGTCTGAGGCAATGCCCATTCGGTGATTAAGGGTAGATAAAAATGAGGCAAAGAATGGCCTCTATTACCTAGTAAAAAAATAAATAAATAAAATCAGTCTGGGAGGGGAAGACCCTCAGAGTTTCTGGCCAAAACAGAAACAATTGTTATTTATACTCACTCTGAGCCATCAGGGCTGGGAGATTTTTTGATTGTTGGCCAATCAATGAGAGTCACAGTGATTTAGGTTTAAGGCATGATCCTTAACAAAGAAATCTAGCCCCTAGACCCAAGATATCTTGCTAGGTTTCAGCAATCAAAATTTACATTCCTTTGGGCAGAACAACCACAGGTAAGAGTATGATTCCCTATGTGGACAAAGGGAGAGGAGGGAGAAGAAAGAAAGAAAGGAGGGAAGGAAGGAAAGAAGGAAGGAAGGAAGGAAGGAAGGAAGGAAGGAAGGAAGGAAGGAAGGAAGAAAGGAAGGAAGGAAGGAAGGGACTTGCGTTGCTCAACTGGAATTGGCCAGTTGGGTTCCCATTGGGGCAGTTACTACTATTCACAGATTGTTGTTTGTCCTTTGTTTTTGAAGAGGACCATGACATCAGGAAGGAGAGGTCATGACTTCCAAGTGAATTGATTTAAGTGAGGGAGGACTGTGTAAAGTCACCAGCCTCACTTTCTCCTCCAGAGCCATCTGGGTCCAGCTAGATTCCCCTACCAAAAGGCTTAGGATAATTGGAATGTCTGAGTATTAGCTGCTTCTCTGGCTCTGATGTGGCTATGGTACTTTCAGAAAGGGCAACCATAGAACAGCAGCAGACCTTGGTGGAGCCAGGGGAAGAATCATTACCTCCCTGCATTGAGAACAGAGTTCAGAGGACGTAGGGGTGGTGGGGGTTGTGTTAGTTTAGGTTCCTTGCTCTTGATTGTCATTTGCCTTTTTTTTTTTTAGAGCGTCTCATTAGGGTTATTGAGGGCGCTTTTATAAGCCCATCTGTTGGTCTTATTGGTGGTTCCAGTAGCCTTGAAGAATGAGATAGCACATAGAGAATTGGTAGCAGTGTATCTATTCAAGGAGCATCTCAGACTCACCCAGAATTGATACATCTCTCCCTGGTGTTTGCCTCGTGCCTACCCCTCAAGGTTTTCAGGGACAATGATCTGTGACCTTAAAAGAGCAGTACAAAAAAGAAAAAAAAAGGTCGAATAATAATATCAGCAATAGTATTTACATAGCACCTACTATATGCTAGGCACTGCACTAGGCATTTTACAAATATTATTTAATTTATCTTTACAACAACCCTGGGAGGTAGGTGTTATTATTATCCCCATATTTACAGTTGGAGAGAGTAAGGCAAGAAGAGGCTAAGTGACTTGCTCAAGGTCACATAGCTAGTTAAGTGTCTGGGACCTGATCTGAACTTAGGTCTTCTTAGTCCTGGGCTTACTGCTCTATCCACCGTGTCACCTAGCTGCTTCAGTGAACTGATACCCAAGATAGGTCGAGAGATTGTGGGAGATGAGTTCAAATCACCAGATTTAGATGAACGACATCTAAATCACATCCTCAGACACCAAAATACGTAAATTTTGAGCCCTGGCAGTGACCTTTGAAAGATCATGAAGGATTAGACAGAGGAAAGTATCCATATTTTCCCCTTAAAGGGAAGAAAATGGATTCTTGAAAACTACAGTTAAGTCCTAATAAGTGTGAATAGTGAACCCTATAAAGAAAGTGTCTACATTCTTTGAATTTGCACTAGTCAAAAATTATATGTAAAATATGAGAATTGGTTTCAAGCCAATGGAAAAATGCAGTGCAAATTCATCCACTTCATGGGATTTGTTTGTCCTATCATTCTCACTAATTAGGACCTAACTGTATAAACCAAGATTCCAGAAAGTACTGTATTAATAAAGGAATGGTTAGTGTAAGTCTTGCCATTGATGTTTGTCCTTTGTTCTCAAAGAGGACCATGACATCAGGAAGATGATGCCATGACTTGCAAGTGAATTGAATTTAAGTGAGGGAGGGCTGTGCAAAGTCACCAGCTTCACGTTCTCCTCCGGAGCCATCTGGGTCCAGTGGCAAGATATAGATCGGGACAACTGGAG